GGATGAGAGTCAGATCCTGAAAAAAGAGTTGCCTTAACAGCTTGGATAATCTCAGAATTAAACACCATCCAACACCGAATGTCCACCACTCAGGCACAAAAATTCTGCCAGAATCTCCCTAACCTCAACTGACAAATTATGGGCCCGAAACTTAACCTCAGTCCAATGGTCAAGAATGAAACTAAGGGGAGTCATTAGTCATAATCATCTGTCCTATGATAAAACTACAGACAAAGACACCAAAGACACACAGAACAAAAACGCTTGAAACAGAAACAGATCCAGACCCACACGACCTGTCCGCATCTTCCACAAGCATACAAAAAAATCTGGACGGCTGTCAGGGAGAAAGCTGTCGCTTCAACAACAGAGCTTGGTCCTCTGATCGATAGAAGGAAGCTACTGGGCATCCCCAGGCCTCCTATATCCCCCTGGTGGGGTCCCCCAGGGCAGCAGCCTGTGATCCCCCTATCACGTCTGCTGATCACAATCCACTGGTCCTTACGGCCCAAGAGGGTAGCTGCAACACGAAACTGAGAACGTGTTCCAGAAAACAGATAATCAGAACAGAAAAGCTGGCCGACACACACACATAGACATACATCAGAGGGAATCCCTGTACCTCAAAGTCGGTTCTCCAGTGTGAGGGGTAGTCAGAGTTTCCCGGCCAATGCACCAAATGAAAGACCTGCAGAGTGTGGACCTTCACACTCCCACACAGGAAAGGTGACACCCCAAATCACTCACGAGAAGCAGTCTCAATGCAAATAGCATGAGGAATTTTTATTCCAAGTGCACTGGGGTCCACAGTCATTGGACTGAGGACCCCGAGAACAGAATTGAGACAGTTTTTATAGGGTTTACAACAAAGCCCACACACAGGTCACTGGGGTGAGGGTTTCACAAGCAGTTTACAAAGTCAGGCAAGCAGTTAGATCATTTTCTGTTATCTTACTAGGCCAAGATTATGTACTCAAGGGCCTGTCTGCCGTAAACAGCAAGGAGTGTGACCTTGCCTATTTGCTGGCAGAGGACTGGGTCTGGAATTTGAGGTTTTTAGGGCTTTTTAGATAGTATTTCTAAACTTTTAGCTTGGTGTGGTCATTGAAGAGTTAGGATGTATTTTTTCATCCTTTCACAACCAGGCTTCACATTTGTAGGTTCTTAGGACCAAACTCAAGTCCTTGTGCTTACAAAGCATGCCCTTTAGTAATTGAGCTATCACTCCTGTCACTTATGTATATATCCATTTGTATGTTTTCTTGAGACAGAACCACTTCACACATCCCTGGCTAACTTTGAACCTACTGTGTAGACCAGATAGGCCTTGAACTTGTGGCCATTTTGCACTCTTCCCAAGGGCTAGAATTCCAGATCTACACTACCATATCTATTTGTGCAGTGCTGGGGGAGGACCCAGTGTTGTTCTTTTGTTACAGTTATAGGATAAAGCTGGAGAAGGGGGTGGTCTGGAGTGGGGGGTCCCAAGGTAAGAGACCACGTGGGAGAGCATAGCAGGTTCCATACCAGGTGAGGGTGACTGAGGTGGAGGGGAATAACACGCCAGGCAGACAGAGCTTAAATGAAGAGTTTATTTAGAAAGGGGAGTGAGCAGAAAGAGAAGAGACATGGGGAGAGAGAGAGAGAGAGAGAGAGAGAGAGAGAGAGAGAGAGAGAGAGAGCTGGAAAGAGAGCAAAGCAAAAAGAACATAAGTGGCTGGGGGTCTGTCTTTTAAAGGACCCTTTACACCTGCCTGCAGACTAGTACTCATGGAACCCTGGGCTGACCAGAGTACTGCTTGAGTGCATTCTGACAGGTGACAAGGTCAGGCCAGCATAATCCCTGAATCCTTACACCCATGGCTTAGCAGTGCTAGGCAAGAACTCTATCAACTAGCTGCCTGACATTGCTTTCCTTATCTAATGCAGTCCTGGTAAGATTCAGCTTCTCCACTGCAAAGTTCACTCTTCAGCTTACACGACTGTGGTTATGAGTGTGATCCCAGACTGTGTAACTGTCAGGGCCAGCTTTCAGAAAACTTTCCCGATTCACAAATATCCTGAATTCTGGGAGGGATCTTTCTATTTCAGAGGTTTGTTTTGCTCTCTGCCACAGTTACAGTTTTTGTTTTGTTTTTGATAATGGAAAGGTGTGGTTGTTGAGTGAGATGCCCTCTTATTTATGGACTGCTGATATATCTCAGAGGAAGGGCACCTGGCAGAGGATGCTTGAAGCCCTAGGTTTATCGCAACCCTGTAACAGAAGCAAAATCTAGTTAGCTTTTCAGTAGAACTTTCTTTAGATCATATTTCTCTCAGCATGAATGGCATCATCCACTCGCAGAGGGGACTGCCCTGTCCCATCTAGTAGCCAGCAGCTTCCTGTGCCTACAGAACACTTGAAGTATGCTGAGTCTAGACAAACATGTGAGTTCAAATATACACGCAATGTGTAAGACTTGGTTTAAAACAGTATAAAATACCCTACCTTAACTTTTATCTTGATTCTGTTAAATGGTGAGCATATTTTAATATGATCAACAAATATGTATTTAGTTTTTATGCTTTTTTAACTTAAAAAAAGTATGGCTGCTAAAGAAGAAAAGAAGTCAAAAAGAAAAGCTATGCTTCTGAAACAATCAGCCTCACTGGAGTTAGCACAGTATTTATTAGCCATGCTAGTCTAGGCAGGTGAGTGGGAAGACATAGCCCTCTGCTGGACAGCAGACTGCATTGTTTTCCAGTCCAGATACAAAGTCACAGCTAGCTAGATGCCTCAGAGGAAAATCAAGAAGGAGAAGGAGAAGGGGGAGGAGAGAATGAGTAGAAGAAGTAGAAGGAGGAGGAGGAGGAAGAAGAAGGCATTAAAATGCATTGAACATGGGCCTCTGCAAAGGCTTGTGTTGACTGGCTTTACAATCTTTCATCTCATTTGAATCAGGAACTCAGTACTATAGTGGTACTCACATTTGAAACACAGTTAACTGAGAACCAGAGTGGTACTAAGTGGTGACAGCCTACTCTTCTCGAGTGCAGGCGTACATAGGCAGAACTCTGTATAAAGTCTTTAAAAAAATGTTAAAGACATGGGCTGAAGAGGTGGCTCATCGGTTAAAAGTGCCTGTTGCTCTTATCGAGGACACACACTCACATATTCACACACTCATACAATTAAAAGAAATTAATTGGAGATACTGTGGGGGGCTGGAGAGAATCCCAGGGGTTGGCTCCAGTCCTGGGGGGCTGTCACACACTAAGTAAGCTCTTATTCCATGACTGACCTATACTCCCAGCATACTCCTTCATAATTATATGTTTCCTATGCTGTAAATACTTTCTACCAAAACATTCACTACCCTTTGATGCGTATGCTGTGACAAGTGATTCTCTGAAGTGTTTCCTCCTCTTCCATCTTGGGCTGTCAAGCTTCTCTCCCTCCTTTGCAGGAGGACTTTTAGCATGCTCCTCCTTGCTGGGTGATTAGAGCTTCACTCGTGTGAGTTAGCATGTCCTTGGGTGGGGAGAAGATGAGCTACCCAAAGGTGGTGTGGTACTTCTCACCAGCTTCAGCCTCATTAAAGTGCATCACAACACATGTATCTCATGACTTTCAGAGGTGTCGTGCAGCTGCAGTCCAAATATATGAGGCAAAGTCCGGAGGCAGAGGCTGGAAGATGTCTGTGCTATCCTGGTTTATGTAGAATTTCCAGGCCAGCCATGGCTACAGTGAGAGATGCTGTCTAAAAGTACAAAACAGAACAAAAAATCCAAAAGCAGTGGCAAGAAGCTCTGATCTCCAAATGGGGGCCTTCAAGATGGCTTAGTGGGTAATGACACCAAGCCTGATGACCTGACTTAAATCCCTGAAAGCCATGTGGTAGGAGGAGAGAACTGACTCCTAAGAATTGCTCTTTACCTTCAGTTGTGTGCTTTAGTGTGCAATGCTCCCCTCCCCCAAGTCAGTCAATGCAATGTAGGTATAAAACATTTAAATTAGTCAGGTGGTGGTGGTGCATACCTTTAACTCCCAGCACTCAGGAGATAGAGGCAGGTGGATCTCTGAGTTCAAGACTAGTTCATTCTACATAGTTCTAGAACAGCCAGTCTACATAGTGGTACCATGTCTCAGAAAAGAACAACAACAACAAGAAAATATTAAGAGTTCTAGAACAGCCGGGGATATGGTACAAGCCTGTGTACAAAAGGAGTTAATATCAGTGTCTGGCATTATGTTCAGGTCTTCAGATGAATCTTCTTTAATTTTTGTTACAAACTTAGGATAACACTGAACTTCAGTTTATAACACAAGTTTAGAGATCAAGGTTTTAGAACTAACTTGAGGCAAAGCTGAGCCTGTTGTCCCAGCTGCTCATTCCCATATTTATTCTATTCTATTTAAACACTATTTCTTTTTTTTTCTTTTTTCTTTTTTGTTCGTTTATTTCTGGTGTGTGTGTGTGTGTGTGTGTGTGTGTGTGTGTGTGTGTGTGTGTAGTGTGGTGTGTGTATGTATGAGTGTGTTTAAATCCAAGGGCAACTTGTCACTTCTCTCTGTCATGAAAGTCCTGGGGAATCTAACTCCGATCACCAGGCTCAGCACCAACTACCTTTACCCACTGAATCTCCCTGCTGGCCCTGTTGTACTCTTTAGCCAGCTACTATTGTAAAAAACTGCCATGAAAATGAAAGTGCCTGACACAGGTCATAGGCATTGTTGGACATAAAACCTCTGACCTTCTGCCAAACTTAGAATCCATTTAATTATCCAGGCAGTAGTGGCAAATGCCTTTAATCCCACCACTTGTGAGGTAGAGGCAGGCAGGTCTCTTTGAGTTCCAGGCAAGCCTGGAGAGTTCAAGGACAGCCAAGGATACATAGAGACACACTGTCTCGAAAAAGAATGAAAGAGTTCATTTAACTTGTTAGAGACAGAGTGTAATCATTCTGATGAGGCCATGTGAGAGATACTTACTGCCCACATGGGTTCCTTGTTTGAACAGGTTACCCTGCTCGGAGAGCCAGGTACCAGTGGGTACGATGCAGTCCTGATAGCATCTCTGCAAACTGCTTGGAGCAGAAGGGACCACTGTTTGATCTAAACGCAGATGGATCCAACAACATCGACCCTCCAATGACCAATCCTATTCTGTAAGTGGATTTGTGTCTGATCTCACAGAAGTGCTGGATTGTTTCTTTTCAGCTGCCTGCTGTAGTAGCTCTGTTTTGTAATTCACATTAGGGAAAGGTTGCCACATGAGCTGAATGAAGCATGAGATGTGGCAAAACACATGGGTTCATTAGGTGTTAGTAAGGTTTTATTGTGGTGGCAGGGACAAACATTGAAAACTATTCCCCCCAACATACATTAAAATGATTGAACATAGTTTTATTTATGCAAATATAGAGTTTATATATTAAAATCCAGTTAGGTTTTTTTTCCCCCTGAGACAGAATTTTAATATGTGCCCTGGCTGAGCTAGAATCTTAGAATCTTCTCTGTACATCAGGTTGTACTTGAAATCACAGAGATCAGCCTACTTCTCTCTGCCTCTGAATGCTGGAATTAAAGGAGTGTGCCACCCTATTGGCAGGCACATCAGCACTTCCTAGAAGGGATGCTTATGCTTGCCCCCTACGGCAACACATACACTTGGACTCCCTACTTCTCTCCTCAGCCCAGAGTATTTGGTTATGGAGACAAATCTGTTGATTGTGTCTCTATTTTTAGGTTACTTGATCACCTCACTGCCTTTAAAAATGATTGACTCATCACTTCTTTCAAAGCCCCTTTATGGAGGCTTCCACCATCTACCTTCTCCTGGCTATTGGCTTTCAGTAGCTACCTTCTCTTTTGCTCATTTTAAACATGTGTTGTGTCCTTGCCCTGTCACAAGCCTTTGTGTTCCCTCAAGGTGACCTCTGCCTGCTCCACACCTTTCAGTCCCATCTGTATGCCAGTAGCTGCCACCTCTGCATCCAGCTCTCTCTGATTTATCGGGCTGAGCAGCTTCCTGGGTTCATTTGATGACATTTCACATTTCCTGTCCCTGCACTCCCTACCATTTTCCTGATTGCTGTCCAGATTTGCCAAGGATGGGTGACACCATTTCTCTGCTCTGGCTTTTGTGTGGCCTTTGGGATGAGTTGTGTGTCTGACCAACCTACTGAACTCAGCCCTGGCATCTTCCCCATTTAGCTCAAGAGTTTATATTTATGAGAGAAGATTTAATGTTTATGTTCTGGCAAGGCTAATAACCTCTTCTTGGTGTGGTGGCTTACACCTTTACTTCTAGCACTTGGGGGCAGAGGCAGATGGATCTCTGAGTTCTGGGCCAGCCTGGGATATACAAATGAGACCCTGTTTAAAAAAACAAAAACAAAACATTTAAAAAGAGCTAGGCACGTAGGTACACACTTGTAAATAAGTATAGCCTGTAGAAGGCTGAGGCAAGAGAGTCAAGAGCCTGAGACCTGCTTGGCCTTCAAAATGACATACTACCTATCTCAGAAGAACAAAGAAAGAACACAAATCTTCATTTCAGCACTATGTTAGATCATGAGAAGTTCTGTGGAAACTTCAATTAGGAAACAGTGACATCTGTCTAGAATGATTTCATGGTGTACCCTGTCTTTAAGGAGAAACTATCAAGAGTTTTTATCGTTAAAAAAAAAAAAACACACACACACACAGGATTTTAGTAGTTGGTGATATGAACAATGAAGGATGTTTACCTATGTCTGCTTCTTTGGGTAAATACAGAATCAGTGAGGGCAGTGAATGAATAGATTAAATATAAGCAAACATGGAGACAGAAGGGTTGGTTTATTGTTTTTCTGTTAAAGACATCTATTTTTAATAATTTACTTATTTTTATTTTATGTGTATTGGTGTTTTTGCCTGCATGTGTGTGTGTGTGTGTGTGTGTGTGTGTGTGTGTGTGTGTGTGTGTGTGTATACAGGATGTCAGATCTTGGAGTTACAGATGGTTGTTAGGTGCCATGTGGGTCCTGTCCTCTGGAAGATCAGTCAGTGCTCTTAACCACTGAGCCATCTCTCCAGCCCAAGATTTATCTGTTTTCATTTCATATGTATGAGTGTTTGCCTGCATGTATGTGCAGGCATCACATGCATGCCTGGTGATGGGGGAGGCCAGATGGATGAAGGTGTCAGATTCTGAAACTGGAGTTACAGTGGTTGGGAGCCTCCATGTGGTGCTGGGAACTGAACCCAGGTCCTCTGCAAGAGCAGGAATCACTCTTAACCAGTGTGTTGTCTCTTTATTCTGGCTTTTTGTTTTGAAACATTGAAGTTGGTTTTATCTCTTGACTTTGAACAACCGGGTGCCTAAATTTATTTTCATATTCCCATTCTACTCCCCATTATTCTCCCTACCCTTATCCCATTTTTACTTTATTTTTTTTGAGGAGGGGCTCAGATAGCTCATGCTGGCTGCAATTCACCATGGATCCAAGGATGACTTTAAGCTTCTGATCCTGCAGCCTTACTGCTGAAAGTGGCAGTCTTGTGTTACTTCAGGCATAGCTTATTTCTTTATATTTAAATATTGGAATTACATTATTTATCAGTAGATCTGGACTTTTCTTTTTTATATTACAGGATGAGAGGATTCCCAAATGATTTCTTCCCTATTATTGATGACTATTCTGGGTCGGGCTCAGGTTCTGGTTCTGGTTCCGGTTCCGGCTCCGGCTCCGGCTCCGGGTCTGGCTCAGGAAGTGGCTTCCTAGGTGACATGGAGTGGGAATACCAGCCAGCAGCTGAAAGCGATGATGTCTTTTTCAACTATAAGCCTTTCGACAGGGTGCTCCACGAGAAAAACCAAGAGCAATCAGAAGATTTTATTATATGAAAATGGACGTTTCTGTTTCCCCACCTCCACAAAGAACAATGTATTCGGTATAGTTGTGTACCATGCTTAGATGGTGAGTCTTGGGATAAAGAGTTTTACAGAAAATTTTAAATGCCTGCAAAGACTCTTAAATCCTGTTACCCTTTCCTCATGAATTCTTTAGGAATCACACTTTAATGCTGTTACCGCTCTAGAGAATATCTGCATTTGTATGTGTGTTAATTCAACATTATTGAAATTAACTCACACCCCCGTCATTACTACAAGTTTTAAAAGTCATGTTTTTAAAAATTCAGTTTGAAGAGAAAATTGATGAACAGTATTTCATACCTAAATAGTGTCCAGGAACTCAACTCAGATTGAGAATTACAGAAATACTCCTTTTATGATTAAAAAATGAAATAAAATGAAACCGTGACCTCCTATAGTGGCTATGTGACATGATTTACAGTGATGACGTCTGCTGTGCCATGGCCATCAGATGTGATGGAGAAGCAGTAAATGTTGTTTATCTAAAAATGTTGTGGGTTGTACAGTTTAGAGACTTGACACCTCAAGTTTCACATAGTGTGGTCTCAATGCCTCACAGTGCTTGGCCTTTTCCTATATGTCTGTTGAATTTCAAATGTTACTCCGTTAAAGCAAAGATATAACCAAAGGGGTGGGGGGAACTGCTTTTTTCTAGTCCAGGAAATAGTTATGTTTAAAATAATTTTCTTTTAAAATGTGTGTATATTGAGGTACATAAGCTATTGTGAGTCTGGAGAAATGGCTCAGTGGTTAAGTGCACTGGTTGCTCTTGCAGTGGACCCGGGTAAGTTCCCAGAACTCACATGGCATCTCACAGCAGGGGATCTGATGTCACTTTCTGGCTTCCATGGACACCAGGCATGCACATGGTGCACATGCATGCATATAGGCAAAAAGACTCATGCACTGTTCCCATTGTGAGAGTCCCGCTGAACTTTAAGCATGACACTTTAATCAATGTATATATGCCAAGAGATGAGAGCCAAAAGAGTAATGGAGATGATCATGGGATGGGACAGCTGCAAAGCTGAAAGGATACAGGGCATCAGGTATCTAGGGAGGTTCCTCCTAATAGTTCACCTTTTTAGCCAAGGGCCAAACCATTGGGAATATTTGTGACCATTCCCAATATGGTGATGCAAACACAGATGAGTGTGATACATTTTTATTATACATGTTTTCTCCCAAATCAATAACAATTATAAACGGAATGCTAAGACAGCAGAGACAAGGGGGAATGGTTGTGCAGATGCTGTTTGTTGCTATTGTCTCAGTATATCACTCACTGTCTAAAATATTCATATATTTATTTCTTATGGTGTTCTGTCTTCTATCATGTGTACTGAACCAGGGTTTCTCATTCTTGTCATTAGTGGCATTTTGTGAAAGATATCTTTCTTTCCTTATTTTCTTCCTCTGTCTGTCTGTTTCTCTCTCTCTCTCTCTCTTTATTTCTGTGTGTGGTTGAATTGGTGATTGAACCTAAGGCTCTGTCACTAGCTACACCCCAAACCTCTGGACAGGCTTTCTTTGTTGCAAGGGGGTGCCCTGTTTATTGTGGAATGTTAGGCTATGTCCCCAGCCCCCTCTCCATGAGATACTCAGTAGTTCTATTCTCCTAGATGGCAAGTAAAAATACCCCCAAACATTTCCAAATGATCACCTGGGAAAAGTCATCCCCTCTTTAGAACTGTTTTTGTGGAACAGATGATCAATTAGTGGCTTAAGTCTCATCAGTACAATTGCAACCTTTGAAATCATTACCTATCCCAGGAGTTATCAGTGTTTTACAGAAGCCAGGCATGGTGGCACAGGTCTTTATTCCCAGGACTTCCTAAAGGGAGGCAGGTGAGTTCATGGCTATTCTGGTCTCTCTAGTGAGTTCCAGGCCAGGCAGGGCTACAAAGTGAGACACTGTTAAAAACAAACAAACAAACAAAACACAAAACAGGAAATCTGTAAAAAAAAAAAAAAGAAACAAACAAACAAAAAACAAAACATAAGTATCATAATCCTTCAATTCTTTAATATGAAATTGCTTTTAAAAGTATTTTCTGGAGGCTGGAGAGATGGCTCAGAGGTAAGAGCACTGCCTGCTCTTCCAGAGGTGCTAAATTCAATTCCCAGCAACCACATGGTGGCTCACAACCATCTATTGAGATCTGGTGCCCTCTTCTGGCTTGCAGAGATACATGTATGCATAAAAAAAAAAAAAAAAAAAAAAAATAATCCCAGCACTTGGAGGCAGAGGCAAGTGGATCTGAGTTCAAGACCAGCCTGGTCTACAGAGCTAGTTCCAGGACAGCCAGAGCTGTTATACAGAGAAAGCCTGTCTCAAAAAACCAAAGGGGAAAAATTCTTAGCCCAGCCATATATAATTTTATTTTTATTTCATGTGCATTGCTGTTTTGCCTGCATGTATGTCTGTTTGAGGGTGCCAGATCCCCTGGAACTGGAATTTGCAGATAGTAGTGAGCTGCCATGGTAGTAGTGGGTGCTGGGAATTGAAGCAGGGTCCTGTGGAAGAGCAGTCAGTGCTCTCAACCGCTGAGCCATCTCTCCAGCCCGAGACCGTGTCTGAAAAAAAAAAACACAAAACAATTTGTGGAGAAACAGCTAATTTCCAGTATTTGGACTCTGTCACGATTAGACCATAGTCTCATATCAACTTTTAAGCATTTTAGACTTGCAGACCTGACTGACACTCCTGCTTCCCAAGTTAAGTTTTGTTATGATGGGAGAATGCCTCTCCCCCCCGCCCCGCCCCCGGAATTTGAGTAAAGGTTCAGCTCCGAAGATTTCGTAAAATTATTCATTCATCTTTAGATATTGTAGGCCGCCACGATAGTGCTGTGATCACGTGTTTTACACTCTGTGAACTTGCTCCTGAGCCCAGCCCTCTCCTGCTTGTAGGGATGGGTCATCAGCTCTCCCTGTCCTGCAATAGGTGTGCTCTTAAGATTAGTTTTCCTTCTTATTGGTCTCCTTTGAGGCGGAAACTCCAACAAAAGAGCGGGTGAAGCGGGAAACCGCTTCAGGTGAGATAAGGTGCGAAGGTCGGAAACGCAGCAAGCCAGCAAGGACACGCGTCCCGCACAAACGCTTGCTTCCTTCGGAGCCCCTCCGACTTCCTAGGGAAGAAGAAATGGGTGTGCCGGGGGAGGAGTTCCGCAGCGCGAGGCTCATCTTGTGACCGCTCCTGAGTTGAAGGACTGGAAGATCGCTCTCCGATCCCTCCCACCCGACGTCACCCACAGCGACCACGCCTCCCAACTGAGGGGCGGAGCAAAGAAACCCCGCCTCTAAACGGCCTTCCCGCAGGGCCGGGCCTCCCTGGGGCGGGGCCGGAGTGGAGGAGGGCGGAGAGGAAAGGAGTGGTCACGTGCGGCTGGTGGCCCACGGTCACGTGACGGGCGGCGGGGCGCAGGCGTCCAGGCTGGGAGTTCTCCTGAGGAAAAGCCTAGTGAAGTGGGGGACCCGGCGGCAGCGACGATGGTGAGTGCGCGGCGGTCTGTGCGGCCGTCTCCCGCGGGGTCTCGGTGCGCGTGGCGGGACTCCAACGGCGAGCGCGGCTCCGAGCCTGCGAGGAAGGAGCGCAGAGCGGTGAGGCCTGACGCTGCCCTGTCCCGGCCAGGCCTGAGCACCTGCGGCCGGTCGCACTGTCCTGGTCATGTCGGAGCCTCTGCCCGCCTTCCTCGACCGGCTTTGGGGGCCGTGGCTGGGCCCCCGCAGCCCGCCCAGCCGGAGCCCCGCGGCCTCGCCTTCCAAGGTAGCCGAGGACAGCCGGTGCCCAGACCCTCAGTTCCGGACTCTGGCCATACCTGCTCCCACCTTCCTCGTCCCGAGCTCGATAGAGTCCGCTTCTCTTCATTAAGCTGGATGTGGGTGGGGACTTTCTGTCTGGGATTTCATGACCCCGGTGGAGGCTTTTGGCATTTGTAGACTAGGATTGGGGAAAAGAGAAAGGGTGTGGGATCGGGGACTCTCACTTATCTCCAGACAGCGATTTAAGCACTTGGTTTCACTTCCTTCCCCTTCCTTCCCTAAGCGGTTTCTACAACTTAGCGCTTTGGGATGTTGCAATGCCTTGGGAGCTAGGGAGGGAGGAAGATCAGAGCACTTAACTTAACCACACTTAATGGGGAGCACCACTGCGCACGATAGTGTTTAACTGTGTGCCCGCAGCCTGCTTTGGATCGGAGCTCCTTTGGCTCCTGTTTAGCCGGTACACCCTGAGGGTGCCACCTGCTCTCCCTAAGCTCACCGGTTCCGATAAACTGTTTGAGGCTTTTAGCTTAGACCAAGATAACCGAACCGGGTCTATTTTAAAAACGTCGCTTTGATTAAATAATTCAAAAGTCAGAAATCGTGTTGCTTTCGCTAGAGGTAGGGGGAGGGGCAAGAGGGAGGTTCATCTGGGAGCGTTTTCTTAAACACGTATTTTGAGTGAGCCCAGGGACAGATAAACAGCACTAGGCTATCTGCCTGCTCCCTTGCAGCAACAGACTAAGCAGTTAACCGTTTGTTCGGACAATTAGTTTAAAATGGAAATAACTAAGAAGGCACTATTTGGATGTTAGGGAACCCTTCTTTCATTGCCCTTTAATTTGATTATAACTTTTTGGTTGTATTTGTAAGTAGTCCTTCTAGTTGTGTGCAAGAGCAATTTATTTTTATTTTCAAGGTATTGGCCAAACAAGCGAAATTATAAATATGCTTTAAAACCTTGAAATGGCCACACATGTATGTATGAGAATTTGCTGTTTCATTGTGTGTGGGCTCCCTGAGTCCCTTTTCCCTTTTTTCCCCTTTAGTGAAAATTTTTTTTCATATATATTTTGATTGTTTTTCCTTTCCCTCAAGTTCTCTTTCTTTACATTTCCCATAGTAGGCGAATTTTCCTAAGTGGGAGACAAGAAAGTTTGTTACATTTTTAGGTATCCACGTGTAATTTTGTCAATAGTGAGATTTTAAGTAAGACACAACTCCTTTTCTTTCCATCTTCTGTTTTTTAGTGTTTGTGTTTTCTTTTTTAGCTTAATTTTTGTTTTTAATCAAGGTCTTGCAATGTGGACCTTGTTGGCCTGATATTTCCTGTGTGTGTAGCCCAAATGGGTCTTGAATGTGTGGTAATTCTGTTGACTCAAGCTTTCAAGTTCTGAGATGGTGGGGATTAGCCCATCTGCAGCCCATAAGACCTAAGAGTTTGAATTAGTATATTAATTGCAAGTATTTGTCCTGAAATTAGCACCAGCTTTCAGAAAACTTTCCCGATTCACAAATATCCTGAAATCTGGGAGGGATCTTTCTATTTCAGAGGTTTGTTTTGCTCTCTGCCACAGTTACAGTTTTTGTTTTGTTTTTGATAATGGAAAGGTGTGGTTGTTGAGTGAGA